CCCAACCCCAAACCCAAACCCAAACCCAAACCCAAACCCATTGTCCACCATTATTATTATTATTATTATATGGTTATTTATTCCTTTTTAAACCCTAATCTCTTTTTAGCTTCAGCTGTAAGATAAATTTTTAATTTAGTAAATCTACCTTTAATCCTATCCAATTTTTACTTACTAGTTTCTAATAACCAAGCGAAGAATGGATGCTTAATGATTAAATTAGGGAAATGTTTTTTAATAAAATCCTTAACCTAATCAATTTTATCACTCAGTTTAACAAAATAAGCAAATATTATTTTAATAAGCATTTATACAATGAATGAGATATTTAAAATTCCAATAATGATATAAAATGGCCAAACAATTTCCTATAAATTTGATTATTAAGCAGTGTAAATAGAGCTGCCTGATATGAATGAAACTGCACAGGCAACAGTCGATTTTGAGTCTAAGTAATTAAGATCCCCAGACATATAAGGTTTTTGAGCATTAGATAAAATGCTATATCCAAATAACACTAAAAATACAAGAGATCCTTTAATAGGAATATAATCCTCATAATAAGCTAATATAATTATGATTAATTCTTTTTAAATGATTTTGATAGTTTCCCAATAAAAAGCATGTAATTTATATTCATTAGAAAGATAGCCCCAGATTTATCTCACTTAAGTACTATCTAATCGATGTTAATTTTTTCTTATTCCATACCAAAAGTAAGTAGGCATTATGATTCCAAAGAATAAAGATAAGGGAATACAAAATCCTAATAACCATTTAGCATGTATATCTGTATCATAACGATAAGCCACATTTCCTTGAATCCAATATTCCTCTGAAATTAATCTATCAGATATTTAAGAGATTAAACTTCCAATCAAATTTGGTTGCAAGAAGATAAAAACATAAATAAGAGCTGTAGGAATATATGAGAACTTGTATTTTATGAAGTTAAAAATTATTACTATTCCACCAAAAGTGAAAACTCTGTTATATATGAAAATGCCATGATTAGACTCCAAATAATTCTGAAGTAAATGATTGGAATATCTGAAACGTTTATTAAAAAGCAATCAAGAGAATATGCCATTGATTCGATTGGGTTGCCAACACTATTTACTACAGATGCCAATTTAGAAGGAACTTACAATTAAAATGTACCAATAGTTGATATGATTTATAGATAGTTTGTGAAAATCTTAATTAATATAGCAGTAGAAATTTAATTTAAAACAACAGCAACCCCAAGTATTTTTAATCGAATTCCAATAATATGTTCTTCAATCATCTGAACAGTGCTGCTTACAGACATTAAAATTGAAACAAGGGTCCAAATGCTGATGAAAATTATAGTAAAAACATTTCCAAAAATTTATTCACAACTGTCACACGAATACGTAGAACTTACAGAGTAAAACCCATCTCCTCTAATATTATATAAGTCGCATTATTCACACAAAGCACCTATGTGCCCGACTGTACAAGATTCATCTCCTGGTGACCATCCCCCATTGCAATTTTCGGTAAGGTGGTAATATTTTTCGATATTTTTGCTATAATAGTATGCCCTCCAATAACTTTTTCTTAATTCAATCATAGAAGATTTGATTTAACTTTTAGGTCATCTTTATAGCTGCAACTTTGAGCATACTCTTATACTTAGTATTGACCTTAAATTATGTCACACAATGTACAGCTTCCAGAAGTTAAATTGAAGAATTCTCCTAATTAACATTAGAAAGAATTGATATCTACTAGCAAATTATAATTAGTTATATAATTCTTCATTAAATAAGGAGGAGTAACTTCATATTATGAAATTTAGATGATATTATCAATCTCAAAAATGCTAAAACTATAATTTGCTTATTAATAAACTTCATTTTAATTACAAAGTTATTATTATTCCTATGAACATGTTAAAGATTAAAATGTTGGATAAGTTGAAATTTAACACTTCAAATCTGAATAATTAGTATGCTATTGCACATTTTCTACACGGATATTAATTAACATAATCTTTCCAGTAAACTCTACCTAAAGTAGCTTTTATAATATTTACATAATTTTTTGAAATATTCAGTAAAAAACAGTTTGACTTTTTGCTGTAATATTTTAAAACTATTACTTAATCTTAAACTTAATCTAATCAAAGGAGAAAATAGGATTGTTGAATTTATAATAAGCATATCTTTAAACAAAATATTGGTTGCAAATTCAATATCTATCAAAAATTAAATATGGGTTGAAATAAAGCTACAATTTTTAATTGATACAGATCCAAATTTAATTTTAATCATAGGATTGTTATTTCTAATAAAATCTATGTCACTTTTTGTAGGTGATTCTAAATGAGACAAAAATTTCAAAAAACCAGTTTTTGTCACTCTAAATCATATTCAATTAAATTGAATTTTCGAATTTATGCTCTGAAGACTTGATAATAAGTATGAGAAGAAACCATATTCGATGGAAAAGCAATTGATTACGGTTAAATTTTGTAGTTTTACATAGTTCTATTTTTAAGAAGGTACAATATAGATGCCACCTCCTTAAATTCTGCTAAAAGAGTTTTCTATAGTTGTTGAATATGTTTGAAGATGTAGTTGTGATGATTAGGCATCTATGTAGAGGCAACCTCCTGTTGAAAATGAAGAACATGATAAACTAGTTAAAGTATTTTAAAAGATTGAGTTCTAAATATGGATAGTGCCTATAGCTTGAGTTACCAAATAAAATCCGCCTCTATATAATGTAAAAGAATTATTTACTGATGTGCTATCTATTGAAATTATATTTGCAATAATCAAACCATTACCACCTTTTGAGTTAATTGGAAACGTCTACATTAAGCTTATTCCATGATTATATTCTAAATCTTCAAATAATAATAGATTTTTAACTAAAGTCGAAATTTGCAAAATATTATTATTAATAAATTGATTTTTCTAAATTAATAAGTTCATTGATTTTATATATAATATTGAATCAGTTGAATTTGTGACTAGATTTTAATTGAAAACTGTATTAGATATCTAAACATCACCCTATTATAATTAAAGTAATAAAGTAGATGCTGATTATCTTGATAAATCCTAAATGTATTAATTTAAATGATTGTTATTAAATAATACCCTATTTATACTTATTTTGCAATTTTATTCAGAAAATAATGATACAATTGAAGAAGCGCTATTATTTTTTGTTATAATTAACATGTTTGATTCGAATTTACTATAGTTCTAAATTATTGATTGTGATATTTTGATACAATCCAATGTATAAATAAAACTACATATAGTCAAATGCATAATTGAGCATGCAATCAACTGTTTTAGAGCGAAATAAAATTAATTAAGTAAATTTTATCCTATCTAATAATAGACTCTCAGACTTTATAACTGTTATTTCTGGTAGTCCATATCAACTTTAAATTTCTAAATCCTCCAATATACAAGTTTAACATTCTATATAAATAAGAGATTATTAGTAATATATATAGTTATTTTAGACTTTTCCATAATTATATTTTTTGATAACTTAAATTACTTTATTGAAACATTTAGAACAAATATCTTTTCATATGAAATTAATTTAATGATAGCTTGCTGATTTTTATAATAAACATTTTCAATCGTGCAATTAATATGGTAAATAACTCTTATTTCAAAATATTATAAACAATCACTGTAATTGACACAAAAAAAATTCGAGCCTTTTATTAATATGAGTAAAGTTTATCCTGATAAACCAG